TCGGTATCGGCCGATACCCACAGCACAAGTATCGGAATCGGTATCGGGAGGGAAAAAATGGTATCGGAACATCTCTAGTTTCTGCCACCCTCTGGACCCATGAATATTTCTCCAGGTCTGCCCCATGCCATGTAAATATTTTATGTGGTTTGCTGCTAAAGGCTGCAAACAACATGAGGTGTGTTGGCCACCCCTCGTGTAAATGTTTAAAGAGTATAGAGTTTAGAAATGTGTGTGACAGAGTGGAGTTGTAAATGTCCTTTTCAAATGTATTCTGTGACCTGAAGCCTCGGTGGATGAGAGCTCGTCCAGTGCCTCCTGCTCCACGGAGCTACAGGCTCCCAGCAACCAGCCGCAGACCCGCCTCAGCAGGGCAGCAGGACAGCAGGGACGCACAGACACACAGCAGACCCAACATGCTCAACACGCCCAGACCAGACTGAGCCGCTCAAGACAGGTCAGCACCCTGCAGGAACCTACAGGCTGCTCCATGTTTACAGTGAAAATGATGTGTTCATTAGTCAAGGATTAGTCACTGCTTTAAGAGTTAAGACTCCTATCTTAACAAGTTAAAGTCATTAGCCACGTTTCTCTGTCATACCATGTGTCTGGACTGGAAAACATTGCTGCTCAACGTACTAACTGTAGAACTCTGTACTGTCTCCTCCTGTCTATCCCACCATTTTTGTTTCTACAGTCAGGGAGACAGAGGAAGAAAGCAGTCATGATGCCTCGTGTTGTCCTCACCCCTCTTAAAGTGAATGGAGAGCATGTCCCTTCAGGTAAGAACCACTAGAACAACAACAATAACAACACAAAGCTGTGAAAGAATTCAGACCGCTGATTGGCCTGACAGGTCAGACATGCTCCTGAAGACGAGGAAGATGGAAGTTATACTGATAAAACAACAAAAGGGTTTAATTGGATCCATTTACAAACTATCTGAAGGAACAATGTCCTGTCACAGTCAGACACCCCCACATATACCTGGGGATGCCACAGGTGTATGAGGGTGCCACAGCTCTAGCCTGCGCGACTTAGTTAAATGTGTGTATTTTGCTGTGGCAGGGCCCATGAAAAGGAGTCGAGGAGGGGTGGATGTAGACTTTGAAACACCAGGCTCCATCCTGGTCAACACCAACATCAGAGCACTCATCAATGTGCGGACCTTCTCAGCCTTCCCCACACACTCACAGCAGCAGCTGCTGCAGCTGCTGCCAGAAGTGGACCGACAGGTATGTTGATTTTGGTCCTAATTATCACACACAGAATTAGGAATCAAAAGAATTTAGTGCAACATTACAGATCATTACTTTGAATCTTTTTTCAATTGTCAAATTCAGTCAACTTGACAGAATGCTGACCTGCAATCACTGAATTGTTGGACACCACAACAAGTGTTACAAGACAAACCTCGACATTTTGCCAGATTTTATTTTTATCATTAAATATTACAATGAGCTTATTGTGAAAGAAAAATGATAATTTCAAAGTCGGGGTAGAGTTGGATGCAAACCAAACTGAAGTTGTGTGCAATTTAGGGCAGGTTGCCGTATGTTAGCTTAAGGGTCTTCTTGTAGTTTGTATAATTATAATTTTAAAAAGCTCAGCCCAGTCAACAATGTTTCATAACTTTTAGGGTAAATTTGATGCGTGTGAGGCTTTCTCAGGTGAATTCATTGTTTTACTGCTATTTGTACACTGTGGCCTCTACCCTTGCAGATTGGACCTGATGGTATGGCCCGACTGAGTAGTTCAGCTCTCAACAATGAGTTCTTCACCCACGCCTCCCAGAGCTGGAAAGAGAGGCTGGCTGAGGGTAAGAGACTGGTCAATCATCAACAAGCTGATAAGTCACATTAGATGAGACCTGATGGGAATTTATTGATTACTGTAGGTAAGGAACTAGTCAAGTCAAGTCAAGTCATGTCATGTCATGTCATGTCATGACAGAAGCAATAAGTAACCAAAAGGTTCTTATGATGGTGAGGAAAACATAAATACCAGCAGTGAAATCTGTAGTCCTGATCTGTAGTCCAGAGAATGTCAGATCTTTATACTGGTAGCACTGTCTTGGAACATGACTGCAACTGAACACTGGCTGCTTATTTCAACAAGTGAAAGGCACAATCCAAAAAGTTCAGTTGTTGAACTACTCTTTTAAACCTTCAGATGTGTTTGGCCTGTTTAGGTGAGTTCACCCATGAGATGCAAGTGCGTTTCCGGCAGGAAATGGAGAAAGAGAAGAAGGTAGAGGCGTGGAAGGAAAAGTTTTTTGAAGAGTACCATGGGCAAAAGTAAGCATCAACCCAATTCATCAAAGTCTGAATCCATTGTTCACACATCAGCTATATTAGGTTTTGTCATATTGGGGCTCATTCATTTGAATTTAGAATATTGTTAACATTTATTAGTTGAATGAACATTATTGACACCAAGTAGTATAAGTTAGGAAAACCTTGTAGGTATTCATTTAACTGCATGCTTTAAGCCATTTATTTCCATCTCCTTTGCTGTCCTCCATGCAGCCCAGACAACTCGTCATGGCCACTATGATTTGCAGATATATGTCAGTGTTTCCACTATGTGCTAAAACGTAGTTTGTGTGTCTGTAGGTCTGGCCTGACACAAGAGGAGTCCCTAAAGCTTACCATGAGTGAGGCCAGTGAAGTTGCAGCCAGTGTTCTGGAAAGTGATGTGGCTGTGGTTGCTACTGGTGCCCCCAAGAGACGAAGTGTGGGTCGGCGGAGGAGAGATGGCAGGATGAGGAGACGCACGAGGGCTGACCTGCGTCGCAGGGCCCGTCGGACCCTCTGCAAGGCCACTCCTCCGGCCTTGCAGTCTGCAGAAGCAGCTGACGCCAGTGCTGCACTGGACATCTCAGCAGTCTCTATTGCCTCTCCTATGTCCGACAACACAGTGGTTCAAGCCGAGGTGGTGCTGCAGGCTGAGTGTGGCGTGGAGCTTCCAGCTGAGAGTGCCTCTATGGAGCCAAAGCCCTCTCCCACTCCAGAGCCAGTCACAATGCCAGCCCCCACTCCCACTCCCACTCCCACTCCGACTCCCACTCCCACTCCCACTCCCAGCCCCAGCCCAGCCTCCACCAGCGCAAACGAAGAGCCTGAAGTTACAGCCCGCCTGCTCCCAGAAGAGGCAGCACCTGTACTGGCTTCCACCTCCTCCCCCTCCTCCTCCTCCTCTTCTTCTTCGTCTGACTCCTCACCCGCCTCCTCACCCTCTTCACCTTCTGATAGACAGGGAGCTTTTGCTGCAGGCCTGGACTCCTCGTCATCCTCCTCAGCATCCTCCAGTGCCGCAGTTGCAGCCGATCCCCTGGATGACACCGCCTCTGTGGTCACCTCAATCACAGGGGGCACTGCCACCAGCAGCCGTGAGAGCAGCCCCTCAGCCAGCCCAGCCACCACTCCTGTACCCAGCTCCCAGCTCAAAGAGCAGAAGAGAAGGCCCGATGAGGCTCAGGCCTTCTCCAGCTTCCCCGAAAAGAGGCCGCGGCTCGACGACCGTCAGTCCTTTCGTACCACAATTGACAGTGTCCGTTCGGAGAAGCCGCAGCCGACAACAGAAGAGCCCAAGGTGCCGCCTATCCGGGTAAGACTTTGTAGCATAAAGCTCAAGACTTCAAGGCTGATCTGTTCACAAGATTTGTGCATAAAAATTATCTGCCTCTTCAGAAATGAGTTGTTATCCAAGTTTACCCACTGTCCTTCTGTCTTTGTCCCAGATTCAACTGTCCAGAATCAAACCTCCCTGGGTCAAAGGGCACCCCACCTACCAGATCTGCCCCCGGATCGTGCCCCCCGGCGAGGGCTCGCGGCGGTCGGGGACGGGGGGCGCGCGCACCCTGGCGGACATCAAAGCCCGCGCCCAGC